TGCTGCGGACATGAAAGCGCCTGCTGCGAAGCAGGAGGAAAGGAGAGAGGAAAAAGTAACTTGTTTCTACCGGCAGAACAGGTTGGAAGATGTCCTGATGCATCTCAGTAATCCAGGTAAAAAATCAATTTGTATAGGTCCTCTGGACGGGTTCTTCTTCAGGTTGGAAGATGGCTGTTTGATGTTATTTATTGTTTTTTAAATCATCCTATAGGCTCTGACATGTTAGATAAATTTGAAAATGAGGTTTTTAAAATATCCGTAAGACTTGAAAAAATCCGTGAGATTGTTCTATATGACCGTATACCTGCAAAATGATGTAAAATCCTTATAAGTTTCAGACAGTCTGTATAAGTTGCTGCCTTTCTTTCCCTCCTCCCCTCCCACTGTGCAGGAGGGCTGGTCTCTCTCTCTCTCTGTGTGGCTGATTCAACATTTGTGTTAATGAGCAGTTGGACAGGTGTACCTAATAAAGTGGCCGGTGAGTGTATGTCCTTAGTTACTCATAGTACAACCAAATAATGGCAGTCATCCCTTGGGATTTTTGCTTGTAGTTTTGTCTTTAACTATTAAAATTTCAGGCTTCCAGACTGACCAGATTTCAGAGTCAAATATAATATTTGYCTTTTTATTTTCAAATACTGTAAGGCAGCTGTGCAGCACTTACAGGCCTGGCACCAGCCACTATTTGCCAGGCCTTATTCTACCCTGGCTCTGGTTGTGTTTACTTKGAGAAGAGTGCCACCTTGATGTGGGCGGGGATTGCATCAAATCCAATCTTATGTCATTTTATTTGCAACACAGAAATGGACAACATCAAGCTCAAAAGAAAGGTCAAACAGTACCGGATCATCCAGCAGTCTGATGCTGTAGACGAGTGGGCAACATAACAGAGGACGGTAAGCTAGTGGTAGCTAATGTTAGCTTGTTGTTGCTAAAGTTTTAATTTAGTTGAACTTGTGTGAAAAACACTTTCCAGTTGTTGCAAATGATTAAAATAAAGTTAATCTCATCTGCGTGACTTGACACTCTGGTCAGTGGTCCAATTAACAGGCAACAGTAGCTGAAGTCAAACTGGGCCGAGCAGCCCAGCCTGAATGAATTCAGTTTCATTCAAAATTGGACTGGGATTGGGCCATAACGGCTAACGAAAAGACGCAGAACCCAGGTTTGAACCAGGTTGTGCCAGACTGGGCTTTACAATGCAAAAAGGGCCGATCTACATGACTTTTATTGCCTTTGATGCTAAAACACATAAAATTATTCTACATTTAAATTTCAAGAATTATTATTATTTTACATATTGTACAATGAGCAGATTTCCTATCTGCTGACTGGTAAAAGTGCTAAGCAGTGGTGGGCACCAGTCCGCTAAAGCGCAAATCTGCTAAATGCGGACCATACCAGAAGGTGTGGGTTATCATTTCAAACAGGGGCAGAGCATCATCTGGTATTGCAGTAAAGAAAATTCCCTAAAGAGTTTGTTATTTTCTTGAACAGCAGAGAGGGCTTGCTGTCAGAGACCAACAACCATGAGGAAACACAGTATTGCAACACCACCCTCTCAGACATATGGTAAAATAACACAGAGCTTTATTCTGTGACTACATTTTTTGGTTTTAAATGAAATGAATAAACAATTTAAACTAAACTAAAAATTAAGAGACACCTCCCACAATGCTTTGCGTGGTGGTGGTGGGACGTATTGCAGGAAACTCCCTCGCCCTTCTCCAGCGGCGCGCCTGCTGTCTGTGGTTCTGATCTGAGATTCAGCTGAAGTGGGTCTCCAGGTTTCCAACCACACATGAAACGCTCAATCCTGCATTTTATTGATGGTTCCGGCCCGGGTAGAAGCAGCGCATTTTACGTCAGGTGGTTGGAAAAAAAAAGTTGCTTCTTCCAGCTGATCAGTGCAGAAATGAAGCAAAGCTGGCCACCCACGGGTCTGGTTGTACAAGTATTTATATAAAAAAAACATTGTGGCAATAAATAAATAAAAGACAGGGCGGCTTTTTTTTCTCAACACAACAGCGCTGTGTAGACCCTACTACGTCTGCCCATAATCACACACACGTACACACACACACAGCGAGGG